CGAAGACCAGTACAGGTTTACAAAGGCTCGACGAATACCAAAGTAACTATCAGTCATTAGGTGGTCGCATAAACGAATTTTTATGAATTGACTTAAGTTATTCTATGTGGCAGGAATATTAATAATTTACAGTACACTAAAACTTATGATAGCACGAGCCCTGTGCGTGGACTTAAAATGGTGTTTTTTATAGGCGATCATTTTCGATTTGGTTTACACCCTTGTTGTTAGACCTTTCGCGTGTTAAACTGCATGATATATAAGTAACCTATAAATTTGTTTCTTGGATGTTTTTATTAATTTATGCCATTTATGGTGGAAGGTCACTTGCACATTATTGGTTGGGCGGCTCATAAAAACTGGTGCGTTAGTCGTGTTTCCTGCTCCGAAGATGGCTTGTCCAAATGTTGTTCCGGACGTCGTGGTTCCCGTGCCTCCATTCCATTATCTTCATGTTCTTGATCGAAACACCAACATAACAAGACTTGTTACAGGACCTTTGACATTTATTCGCAAAGATCATGAGAGGTAGTAATTATCATTATTTTTATTGTTTTCCAACCAGTATTGTGCAGATGCCAGAAAAAATGATAACGGTCACTGCTAAAGAGTATTGCATTATCCTTAACCCTGTAAAGAGGAGTTCTGATGGCAGCATTATTACAGAAAATGGTCAGGTCCTCCTAGATTTCGGTGAGGAAGAGTATCGATTCGCACAGCCGCCTTTCCCTTTATATCCCGGGGAAAAACTCCAAGGAGATGTCAGTCCTTTGAACATACTGCCTCCGAACGAGGCCTTGCTCTTGCGTGCAACTGTTGCTTTTACCGACAATGATGGAAGTGAACGGATTCCTGGTGAACAGTGGCTCTTTGAAGGACCGGGTATGTATTCTTCAGCAAAAGTACATAGTATCAAGCCTTTTATTAACTCCACCTGCATTTTCTTTTAAAGGTGTGTATAAACCCCGCAAAGAGGTTACTGTTCTATCTCAACGATCGGCTGAAATGATATTGCCCAATTCCGCTCTGTTAATTGAAGCTCTGATGAATTTTACTGATAGAAATGGAAGAAAACGAGTTTGTGGAGAGAGGTGGCTAGTTAAGGAACCAGGCTCTTATATGGTTGGGGCTTATGAAAAGTGTGTGGAAACTTATCATGCATACAATTTGGATGAAAAGGTGGGACATCGTGATTTGGAGTTGAACTTTTTGATGGATATATTTTGCTTATGTGTCATTTTAATTAAAAATGTCTAGCATGCCCTCCACGTCCGTGCCTTGAAGTCACACATTGATGATTTTGGCCGCAAACGACGTCATGGCGAGGAGTGGCTAATTACATACCTTGACACCGAGAGTCACATTCCGAGCGTTAACGAGGAGGTCGTTTGTGTTGCTGAACCCATTGTTTTAACCTCCCAAAATTACTGCATCATTTGCGACCCTGTAGACGAAAAGGGTGTGCCGAATGTTGGGAAAAAAATGCTTGTACGAGGCGAGAAAACTTTTTTCCTTTTACCGGGTGAGCGCCTCCTCCAGGGCATTCAGAGCGTCTATATTTTGGGCGAAGAGGATGGATTGATTATTAGGGCTCTGGAATCCTTCATGGATGGCGACGAGGTAGGGTTTTGTGGTAGTATAAAGCTTTATATGCGCAGTTGAGTGGATGATCACTTTTGTTTCTCTTGGTAGCATCGCGCAGCGGGTGAAGAATGGATGTTGGTTGGTCCATTGGAATACGTTCCGCCGATTGAAGTGGAGGTCGTGAGTACACGTAAGGCCATCCCTCTTGGTGACAACGAAGGTATCTACGTTCGCGACCGCATCAGTGGAAAGGTACGGTCTGTAGTTGGTTCGACATATATGCTTACACACAACGAGGAGCTTTGGGAAAAGACTCTACCGCCAGCTGTGGAAGAATTATTGCGATCGACGAAAGACCCCTTGGCTGATAGATCCGTCGCATCGGGTCGTGCAAGACCGGTGAGAGGAGGAGATGCGGAAGAATCGCGTTCGTCCAAGTTTGACCCCACACGAGTTGTGAACTATAGAGTGCCGCACAATGCAGTTGCGCAGATTTATGATTACAAGCGCAAACGGGCTAGATTTGCCTTTGGTCCAGAACTTGTGATGTTGGATCCAGACGAGGAGTTCACTGTGCTGAGCCTTAGTGGTGGCAAACCAAAACGCCCCAATATGATCCGCTCCATTTGTCTCCTCCTTGGACCCGACTTCTGTTCTGATGTGCTAATCGTAGAGACTGCAGATCACGCTCGCCTCTCCATCCAACTCTCCTACAACTGGCATTTCGAAATCTCGCCAGAAAGAACTGCCGATGAAGCAGCGAAACTATTCTCCTTGCCGGACTTTATAGGCGACTTCTGCAAAGCTATTGCAGCTCGCGTCAGAGGCAGTGTTGCTTCAGTTAACTTTGACATATTTCACAAGGTAAATGTTTTTACTAGCACTTTAATACTATACTATAAAAGCATTACGGGACGACGTTTTATCCTTTGTTCCTCAGAACTCGGCAAACATTATTCGTGAGGCTGTGTTTGGGAAGAACGCTTCTGGTGAGATGTGTGAAAAATACGTTTTCTCACAAAACAATCTCGTGGTTACAAGTGTCGACATTCAATCGGTTGAGCCTGTTGACCAGCGCACTCGTGATGCTCTGATGAAGTCGGTTCAGCTGGCCATTGAGATAACAAGCAATTCTCAAGAGGCCGCTGCTCGGTAAACCCAATTTCTCACTTTTACTCGTGAAACAAGCATTGGTTTTTGCTCCTGCACATTTGTTGTTTTAGCCATGAGGCGGAACGTTTGGAGCAGGAGGCTCGCGGTAAATTGGAGCGGCAGAGAATAGAAGATGAGGCCTCAGCTGAAGAAGCAAGAAAGAGTCTTTTGGAGTTGCAAGTGCAATTGGCAACTCTTGAAAGCACTGGACAGGCAAAATCTGAGGCTCAGAGCAAAGCAGAGGCGATGCGCATCGCCAGTCAAGCTGAAGTTGAGAAGGCGCGTCTAGAGGCGGAAGCAGATAGCATCAAAACGGTGCGTTGTGGGATTCATAATACTTGTCTCGTTTATTCAAATGCTAACCTTTCACATCCCTTTGCTTAGGATGCCGAGATAAAACGCTTAAGATTAGCCCGAGAGTTAGAGCTTGAGTTCGTGCAAAAGAAGAACGATCTCGCGCTGGAGCGTAGACGCCGGGAGCTTGAAATGGAGACGGAGTTCTACCTACAAAGGGTTCAGGCAATCGGTTCCGAGAATCTGAGGCACATTGCTTGCGCAGGCGTAGAGCGTGATGTGCGAATGTTGAAAGCCTTGAATTTAAAGAGCACCCTTATTACCGATGGAAAAACACCCATAAACCTACTCGATGCTACTGCTGGCTTGATTGGCCAGACCTCGGGCATTGTCCACAATCCTGCTCTCTCGGGCTCATCTGAGGAGGCGCCTCATGCGGAGTGAATGAGACCTTTAGTTGCTTAGTCGTTACCGGTTTTCACCTTTCTCAATAAAGATATTTGCTTCTTTATGTATGAAATGTTCTTAGCACAGAGGTTATTGCTTGTGGTCTCGTAAGTAGGCATGTCATAGCGCCACTGGCACTTCATAATATGTTTCTATTGGTTGGGTGGGCAGGGTGTGTTACCAACACATGGGAGAATAGTCTTGCTACTTGACTGTAGAAGCATGAAATTTGATCCCATCAGATCTCCGCGGCTTACTTTAGCAGGCCTTTTTCCAAATCCGTCAAATTTTGTGTTGAGTGATGCCGGTTCTCTATGCGTTCCCCGGGTTTGTCCACACACTTCTGGGCCTTAATTTAGAGGTCAATTTACGCGTAAGCTGTGAGATTTTCTACAACTACTTGTAGTCTTAGATAGAAATTGAGTAAGCTTTGATGTTCGAAGGAAGCGAAGTTGGCAAAGCACTTCCAAAAATCGATGAAACTGTGATCGTGGACATGAGTTCAGCTCAAATTGGACTCACAAGACGTGTAAACTGGTGAATGCACGTCAATTTCATCTGGACATAGCCTCAACCACATTTTTTAGCTTTTCATGGATCTAAACTTCTCTGTTTCTTGATTATTGCATTTGTTGTTCATCTTTTCGGATCTATGACGCATTCCTCTCCCCATCTTATTACCTGCAGAGTTTGCTTTGTTACACTGTGTATGCTATTTATTCAATTCGTGAAAGACTGTGGTAGCATCGGAATCTAGTTATAGTGCTAAATTACTAAAACAACTCAGGACTCGCCTTCAACAGTTACCTTTGAACTGGATGAGATGAGGCTAACCTCAGACCTAAGGATGCGTAGATCTTTTTGCAATAAACGACTCAACACATCAGCAGCTGACACTTCGGGGAGCACGTATTCGATTAAATAACTTAGGGAACCGATTCTTGTACTTATTTCTCCCGCATGAGCGTTTGGTTTCCTATCCAGCATAGCATTCCCATAAAATGGTTTCACTTAGCAGATACTTTATTGTATGTTCTCATGGAGCCGGCATACGGTTTCACATCGTTACTATCTATTGTCTGATTATGGCTACTGAAGCCTTGTCCCTCTGATCGATTCTTTTAAAAATATGTATTTGTGCTCCTTCCTTAACTTTCCTGTTAAATGTATACTGAAGCTTTAATGCAAAGTACTTTATTCGCACTCTCTTCACCCATCCACTGACAGAACAACTATTGTTGTGTAGGGGAAACCTTTCTCCGTCTTTTATGATTACTAACTTTGCTAAGTTAGTCACGTCTACCCTCCTTTTGAAAGCGGAAGGAAACTTCGACACTCACACTATCTACTTGGATGACGAACTACAGTTCGCGTCTGTGAGATGAAACTGACGGATTCTCCAAATGGCAGTACGTCGTGCGGCTTAAAGACCATGCATTGGTACTGATCAGTGCGTGTTTGTGCCTGTCTTCGGTTTTTATGAGGTCCACGAAAGTAAAGATTCTGCTCATGAGTGGGTGTTGTGATTGATTTAATGCTCAGATTAATGCAAAGCATCGACTGTGCTTAAGAAAAAACTCTCCGTATTTCAAACAAAATTTGCTAAAAGGAGACTGAAAAGTGTGAGGGTAGACATTGCGAGCTAATAGCCTCGTTTAAAGGGGGAAGCGGGAGCAACACCATGATCGCAGCGGAAGATTCAGCTGTTCGGTAAGCTTCACTCATCGAGCAGCAAATTCGCAGTTTTCCAAGCAGATATTCACAAAACTAAAATAGCAGTTCGGTATAAAGAAGACTGAGAGACCGAACATAAAATCAAGCAATAAAAAAAGTGCTCTTTAGGTGGTAAATGGGAAGAAAAAGAACTAGCATTATGCAGAATGGTTTATCCAGCTCTTGGAAGTCCTAAGCATACATCTTACTTGAAGTAAAATGCAAACCAAGCACTGTCATGCCAAAGGAAATCATAAAGGCTCCACTTCGCCTACAGAGTTTGTTGCACAATATTGCGAAGTGTTTGAAATGCATACTGTGCAATACTTTGATATGGCCCATAGCTTAGCTGGGTTGAGGCAAAATATTGCACATGAATTGCCCGCCCACGCATAAGGCTCAGCTTGAATGTGTTTGAGTTCCCACTGGAGTTCGGTCAAGAACCCCGACCCAATTGACTAAAACAAAGCTCAAGTCGACTGCTATGATAACAGTAATTATGGCAGCCAGACCCCGAAGAGTTGCTTTACAATGGTATAAGCCATAGCTACCCATTTATTGCAGAATTTCGTACTCGTGCATTTGCAGTTGGAAAACTAATTCAATGTCTGCGTGTGTGTGAGGCTGTTCTAATCTGGCTGACTTGTCAAGGTCATTAAAGAGCCTCAACCTGGCTGGAAATTGGGTTTGGTTCGTAACTTGCACCCCTTCTAGTTACCATAGTAATTCAAGCTTTAATCCCTATGATAAAGCAATAATTTTTTGCATTCATGACTGACTTGTAGTTTTGAGTGCATGTGTGTGTGCGTTTACAAGGGAAGTTGCATTCATTGTTGTGTGGTAGCGAAGAGTGGCAGTTATTTCGCGCCTGGTGGATTTGTGCACTGAATTTAAGGCGAACAATAAAGGCAAGGCAAAGTAATAGTCCCTTTCAAGCTTAAATAAAGGAAAATGGAAGAAGACAAACAGCACACTTGAAGGATTTGCTAAATAAACTCTAAACTTTTGACTCATCTACCATGATTGTGTGAGCAGATGAACTTCAAAATGACTTGGCAGTTTACCACCAAACCCTCGTGGCCGACCAACAGAAGACATGCATGAAAGTCAAATGATTAATTACGACTAGCTACGTTATTGGAATAGATGAAGTGAAAAACAGGCAATGCATCGCGTAGTTAGGAAAGAGGATTTATTATAAAAAATGCAAAAAGACTGTAATATTAGAAAGAAAGAAAGAAAGAAAGAAAGAAAGGAGGCATTGTAATGTGGGCTTGATGAGTTGGCGTAGTCCACATCCGTTTTCAACACTTCGAGAGTGCAATAGATGCCTTAAATCGTGTCTATGCTATTCAAGGAAAAAAGTGAATAACGTTAAAACGCTGCATTCGGCCGGAATAACATATCATATTTCGGTGAATGTGGCTCAATGTGCTTATTTAAAAGCGAATAAATCAGTATACAGTGGGTTCCAAAGTGTCATGAGTGGCTTTAGTGCTGTCACCTTACGACTGGATCACTCGCCTAGCCCTAGCGCCATGCCAGTGTGAGGGGCTGTGAAGTACACGACTCAGTTGCTTACGCTCTTGAATTTGCAATCATCTTTGATCCTACGCACTGACAACCAGCTGGATGTGTTCCATTTTCTACTCATTGCCTACTCCTTCGATTTCCTATCGCCGTGGAAAATGCTACGTTGTTTACATGACTCCTCCCAGACGATAGCCTCATTGCCTTCGCCATCGTTTGTTCGTTAAATCTGACTGGATATGATTAACTCTACTTAATGCGTTTAGGACCTGAAAGTGTAAAATGAAAGTATCAGTCCGAGAAGAAAAAACGGCATGCGCAGGGTGTTTCAAACTCTTCTCTGTGGATCGGGAGTTAATTTTTAAGCGCTCGAACAGACCTATATATTCATGTGCAGATATAGGTAAATTGTAACTCAATTTGAATAAATGGGCTGGAAAAAATTTATTTTTAAGAAAAACTTGACAAAGTAAAATTCTTTAAAAAGTAAGTATAGGAGGTGTTCACTCCAGTTGTCACCTCTTAGGTTTTATGCTGTTAGCACACACAAATCTCTTTGCTGAGTGATTGGAGCCTAATCGTCACCATAAACATTCACATGATGTGCCATTTGCCTACTGCTACTTAAATACGATATTTCTATTAACCTGGTTATTCTATCCCACATGTGTGGTAAAAGGTGGAGGTGGATGGCATCAGCGTTCCATTCTCCGCTGTCACCAAATCCTCTTGATTGAGGTGGTCGGACTGATGGAAGAACATTATAAACGAAATTTACCAGGCAAGAGGGGAAGGATAACATACGCTTTCCATTTGATAGTGTTTTACTGATCGTTTGTCCCCTGAGGAGTGGATCAAGCAAGATAACTCCTTTGGGTTTATACTGAAGCGTCAGCATCTACGGGAGTTCAACGGTACCAAAGCGAAGAGCCGAACTGACCGCCAATTATAAAGAGATAAAAATAACAGATTAATGAGCACATAACACTAGTTTAGACATTCACGTTTTCATTGACACTCGTGTCTACCCTACCAAATGCCCAAGAGAAAAAGAGGAGTCCAGTAGCAATATGAATGAGAATGGGACCACTGATCCGGAAAAAGAGGAAATCAACTCCTCTACTCCCTGTGTCAAGACTCCAGGAAGTTTCTTGATAACACTTGATGGAGGTGTTTTGCCCAGTAAGCAGGGGAGGCGAAGGCAGTATTTCCAACGAATGCTCAGCCAGACAGGCGTGCATCTCTAGACCGCAAAAAAGTCGAATTATTAGAGCCGTTGAAAGGCAGTTACTGCTCAGGGTTAGCATCAGCAGCATGGGACAACTCCTACACAGTGACATGCCGAAATGAAGGAGGGACAGAAGAATGAGGAAAATGGCACATATCAGCATTGCTAGCACAACATGAGTGGTTAATGCGGACGCCTCACTAGCAGAGAAATTGCAATGGACAGCCATGAGATTGTGAGAGGTGAAATAAAGGTGGCCCACCAGTGCCATGTGTTCCCATTCTTGCTTGTCAAAACTCAAAATTCGGTCCTCCTGGACCCAGAAACCTCTTCGTGTCTCGTACTATGTAGAGAGGACGATAAGGCAACGGTGTGGGATTAGAGAACGAACCGGTAATAAAAAGCAAAATTTAGCGAATCATCCTTTGCAAAACATGCGTTATCAAGGTGTCCTAAACCATTATTAATAGCCTTTATGATTAATATATAAAAGAGCTGATTTCTAAAGCCTTAGAGAATTCGCCCC